TCACAATTAGTGATTCACAGTGCATTTCGTCAAAAATGGTGCAGACACCATACTGTGAATTGTGAATATTGTTCCTTTGCGAATAAAAATTACTGTAAATAAGTTCAAAAGAATAAAAATATGTACGTAGCTTTAAGTTAGTTCCGGGTCAATTTAAGTGAAATTAAGTGAGAGAAAAATAACCGGTGAAATGCCACATGTGCATATAAGTCCAAGTCACTAAAGCATGGCAGTACAAATTTGCCTCCTTCTCTCTCTCCTTGGTCGAGCTTCTCCTCCATGGAAGGCTTAGGTTTTCTTTTCTTTTTCTTTTGATTTCTTATTACACAAGCATCCAAATCCATAAGTCCATTACACGAAATTGATAGTAAATCATCCAAGGAATCCATTCCACCACTTTGTTTGGGCTGAAATTGCATGTGGGAAGAGTTCTTCCTCCTCTCCAATTCGTGGCACTATTCATCCAAGTGCAAAAGTGTGAATTTTGAGTGAGTTTTGCTTGGGTTTTGTTCCTTGGACTTTGGATAAGTGATTTGAGGTAAGAAATCTTCATTTCAATGGTTTGATTTATATGATTTGAGTTTTGAAAATTTAAAGCATGTTTTGGTGGGAAACTTTGAGTTCAAAATTTGAATTGATGATGAACTATTGTTGTGTAGTTGTGGTAATGTGAGATAAGCATGTGAATAAGTGTAAAGTTGGAAAAAAATTCCATGATGTTACCTCTCTATAATTCGGCCAAGTTAGGGTTGTTGGGTTTGGTGTGCAAAAAAATTAAGTGCATGAATGGTGGAGGTTGGTATATTGGTGTATGTTGAGAAAAGTATTTCTTCAGTCACCGGAGATAAAATTATCTCCAGTGAGCTCAAAACGACGTCGTTTTGAGGTTATAAGATTAAAAAATTAAAATGATAAAGACTAATATAACCCTGCAATATATTATAATTATAAAAATACCTTGATTTCTGTCACAAAACGATGTCGTTTTGGACTCACTGGAGATAACTTGATGACTGGAGAAATCCTTTACCTATATATATATATATATATATATATATATATATATATATATTTTATTGGAGATCAGTGAAGTGAAGTGATTTAATTCTTTGCCTTAAATGGATTTAAAAAAAGGGTTTTGTATCTATAATTTAACATGACCACAACAACTTTCCTACACACACAATATTTTGTGGGACCCACAATTTTTGAAACCAAAAAAAAAAAAAAAAAAACTCTGGCACGCAAAACGAATCTCTATAACATAACACAATCACTTTTCCTACAACATAACTCTTATTAAACCCTTAAAAAAAATAGTGGAATTCTTAAATCAATTAAAAAGATATTAAATTATCAAATCGGTAAAAAAATATATATATTTAATTATTCGATTTGTTGATGATTCGATTGTACTTTTACACTCAATGTGACAGCTAAAGGTTGTGCAAGTGTTATTCTTAACGCGTAGCCGACGACAGTTCTCCATCGTCCAATAACTACACTGAGCCAATCACGTATTAAGGAAAAAGAGGAATAAATTTTAAGTACATTAGATATATAACAAAATTCTGTGTATTTGTCCAAATATTTTGTGATATAAAAACAAAAAATAGATATAGAATCAACTTATATCTGTGCAAAAAAAAATTCTTATAACAAATCTTAATCGTAAATTTTTGTATATCTAACGGTTAAAATTATTGAGAATTAATAATTAATTAATTAATGAAACACAATAAATTTTAACCGTTAAATATATATAAAAAATGATTAAGATCTTTATACTGATGTAAGATAATCCTGCCTCAAAAAATTATCTCACATTTAATTTTTTTTTAGATGATGTGATATTCTTTTTCCAAATATCATAAAATAAATGAACAGATACATTATTAATGTACTAAAGATTTATTCGGAAAAAAAAAAAATCAAAATCGTCTACAACAACTGCTTAGGACCCACTTACGGAACATTCTAGACACTCTCCCTTTAACCTATATATATACCTTCTCTTTCTCTCAATACTCATTCAAACCCTTATTCTTCTTAACTCTTTCTTCTTTATCTCTGTATCTCTCAATTTTCTAAGGCTTAAAGTTTTGTCGGAGAATATGGCAGCAAAAGGTGAAGGACCGGCGATCGGAATCGACCTCGGCACCACCTACTCCTGCGTCGGAGTGTGGCAGCATGACCGCGTTGAGATCATCGCTAATGATCAGGGGAATCGTACGACGCCGTCGTATGTTGCCTTTACAGACACCGAAAGGTTGATCGGAGATGCAGCTAAGAACCAGGTCGCCATGAACCCACTCAACACCGTTTTCGGTAATTCATCTGAAAAAATTAAACCCCTTTTCTTGCTCAAGTTTTCAAGAGTTTAACTCTTGATTGATTCAGATGCGTAGTATTTAGTTTTGTAGTTGTTATTGTCTATTAATCTCCTTTTAATCGGTAAGGTGTGTAGTTTAGATGTAAACTTTTAATTTTAATTAGGTATTTTGCTGAATTAGTGGGTAGCAGATTGATAAGCATGCGTTGATTGGGTTTGAATAAAGATCAATATAAGACATGAATGAGCAATTCCTTTAACCTATTTCAATTAAAAAGAATTTTATTTTTTATTCCTATCACATAGTTGTTTTACTGTCTTGGGATGCTGTTTGTATGTGTTGTGTGGAAGGTTTTCTTTTTGCTTGGCACGATGTGGCTGCTAATTGGTGATTGTTATTTTGCAGATGCGAAGAGGTTAATTGGGAGGAGAGTTAGCGATGCTTCTGTTCAGAGTGATATGAAGTTGTGGCCATTCAAGGTTGTTGCTGCGGCTGGTGACAAACCCATGATTGGTGTTAACTACAAGGGTGAGGAGAAGCTATTTGCTGCGGAGGAAATCTCGTCTATGGTCCTAACAAAGATGCGGGAGATTGCAGAGGCTTACCTTGGGTCAACTGTGAAGAATGCTGTTGTAACTGTGCCTGCTTACTTCAATGACTCTCAGCGTCAAGCTACCAAAGATGCCGGTGTTATTGCTGGCCTCAATGTCATGAGAATAATAAATGAGCCAACTGCCGCAGCTATTGCCTACGGCCTTGATAAGAAAGCTACAAGTGTTGGTGAGAAGAATGTCCTGATCTTCGATCTCGGAGGTGGAACTTTTGATGTTTCTCTCCTCACCATCGAGGAGGGTATCTTCGAAGTTAAGGCCACAGCCGGAGACACTCACCTTGGAGGTGAGGACTTTGATAACAGAATGGTGAACCACTTTGTACAGGAATTCAAGAGGAAGAACAAAAAGGACATTAGCGGAAACCCAAGAGCCCTGAGGAGGTTGAGAACTGCTTGTGAGAGAGCGAAGAGGACGCTCTCATCCACTGCTCAGACCACCATTGAGATAGATTCTTTGTTTGAGGGTATTGACTTCTATTCAACAATCACTCGGGCTAGGTTTGAGGAACTCAACATGGACCTTTTTAGGAAGTGTATGGAACCTGTGGAGAAGTGTCTTAGGGATGCTAAGATGGACAAAAGCACTGTTCATGATGTTGTCCTTGTTGGTGGCTCTACTAGGATTCCTAAAGTTCAGCAGCTGCTGCAGGACTTCTTCAATGGGAAGGAACTGTGTAAGAGCATCAACCCTGATGAAGCCGTTGCTTATGGAGCTGCTGTCCAGGCAGCTATATTAAGTGGCGAAGGCAATGAAAAGGTTCAAGATTTGTTGCTTTTGGATGTCACCCCCTTGTCTCAAGGTTTGGAGACTGCTGGAGGTGTCATGACTGTATTAATTCCACGGAACACTACGATTCCTACTAAGAAGGAACAAGTATTCTCTACATACTCTGATAACCAACCTGGTGTCTTGATTCAAGTTTATGAGGGTGAGAGAGCAAGAACTAAGGATAACAACTTGTTGGGTAAATTCGAGCTTTCAGGCATTCCTCCAGCTCCCCGTGGTGTTCCTCAAATCACTGTTTGCTTTGATATTGATGCTAATGGTATCTTGAATGTCTCTGCCGAGGACAAAACCACTGGGCAGAAGAACAAGATTACCATTACCAATGACAAAGGAAGATTGTCAAAGGAAGACATTGAGAAGATGGTTCAAGAAGCAGAGAAATACAAGTCTGAAGATGAGGAGCACAAGAAGAAGGTTGAGGCGAAGAATGCCTTGGAGAACTATGCCTATAACATGAGAAACACCATAAAGGACGAGAAGATCAGTTCAAAGCTTTCCTCAGAAGACAAGACAAAGATTGAGAATGCAATTGAGCAGGCCATTCAATGGCTTGATGCCAATCAGCTTGCTGAATCTGATGAATTTGAAGACAAGATGAAGGAGCTTGAGAGCTTATGTAATCCTATTATAGCCAAGATGTATCAAGGCGGGGCTGATGTAGGTGGTGATGAGAATGATGATGCTCCACCTGCAAGTGGTAGCGGTGCTGGCCCCAAGATTGAGGAGGTTGATTAAAATGGATTTGTTAGGTATTGGTAGAAAATTATGCGTATTAGTATTTGTTATTTTGTTTTGTTATGGCTAGTATAGAATTTTGCTTTCGTAAATTGTATTGTTGATTTCAATTTGTCATTGGTTTTGATAATTGAAAAATAGTATACTGTCAGCTCATTATTAATCTGGATCATATAATTTTAGTATGAAGATTTTGATATATTTCAGTTTCAAGCTGATTTAAATTGGGTAATGTTACTTATATGCCAAAAATTTCCTGCTTTCACATTTATATATATATATATATATATATATATATATATATATATATATAGAGAGAGAGAGAGAGAGAGAGAGAGAGAGAGAGAGAGAGAAGGGGGTTTTGCCGACTAATCTGATTAAAAAATATTGATGAAGACATATCAGGACCCGCAGCCAATGGGAATAACGGGAGCGAACGAATTTCAATCAAAATGTACATCCTCCCATCAAGACGTACTCACTCAAAAATCATTCATCAAGTTTGTAATGGAATAGTAAAACCTTGTACAGTTCTAATTGACAAAAAATAACATAAAAAGTAAAGGGTCAAATTATTCATGTCAAGATGCGCAGAGTCTCTTGCATGTTTAGCTATCATATCTTTTAGCTGACATTTTATACAAAAATGGATCCGACCAAGGTCAACATTATTATTTTAGTCCACTAGAGGTCGAAACCTTATTGATGACCTCCTCTTCCATTTCGACTAGTTGGCGACAAAACATTTCAACATTGTTTGCCTCTTCCTTGAACATGAACCTGAATTCTTTCCATTGGTAGTGACCAACGCCATCCGTCAAAATTGGACTGGAAACTTTTGCCAGGACATCAAATCCTTTGCGATCAATGGATGCTATGTATGCATCCTTAATACAAAAACGGTGGAATAGTTAGTTTTTCTTACAATTATATTATTAGAATAAAAAAAGAAAATGAACTGATTAGGTAAGATATGGGTTCTAGATGTTTAAGCACTAACAACTTTGTAATCAGATGAGATGATAATATTTCATGGTTTCAATTTGATGTTCTTAACATATGTTTTGTTCGCAGAGAATAATTAAGATTATTAAGTTACCTTTGCATTGGCATCCATGTAAACAAAACAAAAAAGCATGAGGGCTCTCCGCCTTGCCTCGCTTTGGTTAATCCCATCAATCAACTTTGCTGAAAATGGTGCTACACAAGACACATACAAGAGATGTGAATCTTCTGTTACATAAATATGAGATACTGATTTTATGCATCTCAAACCAGGTCTTTACCTAAGACATCAGCTTTGGATGTTTCCAAATCTTCAACATCCACTTCAAATGTGCCTCCATATGCATCAATAAATGTGCAAGATCTGAGCAGTAAACTCTCACATTAGATGAAACAAACATTTTAGATTTTTTAATTTCATTCATAGTTTAATGATGTCCTGGTCACACTAGCGGATGCAGGATAATAAAAGTTCGCTCAAGCTGATTATTTCAGGAAGAAGCTTCCTAAGTAAATGACTTCTGTAAAAGCCCTATTTGCTGATGCATACAGAACAAGATCACGGACAATCATCTGATGCAACATATTAGACATTTAGCAGGTTCTCAAAATTTTAATGTTTTAAAAGTAACCATTACTTAAGTGTCATAACTAAGTATTGCCACAAACCTACCAACTTAATAAAAATATTAAAACCATAAGTTTCATAGAAGGAAATAGTGAATTAAGTAGGCTCACTCTCCCTCCTACCACAACTATCTGTATTTAATTTTAAATATATAAAATTTTAGTTTATGTTCCCTAACAATTTGAAATTTTGGTGTTAAACTTGTCCCATGACTGTAGTAAACTATTTAGGATTGCAGGAAGACCCAATCTGGATGGATACTAGAACCAGATATGATCTTTGCATTCATATAGTGAAACAACACATTTCAAGATATAGATTTAAACATCCAAGTTCTTACCTCATTCTAAATCTATACACAGAGTATCTTTCACTGCCTCCCAATAGTTCCTGAAGATTATCACTTCGTGATGTACAGCTAACACTAGAACTTAGTACTCCAGAAACAGTGTAACTGAACTCATTGATAACTTTTTGCTCAGATAATATGACTTCCTGAAGTTTTTCTGCAAGAGACTTAATCTACACCAAGATCAATAACTTAATGTCAATATCAATTATCAAGAACAAGTCTATAGCAATGCAGTGAATTCTGTTGCCCCTTGCCAACATTATGATAAGCCACGTATTATACCTAACCTGACTGGAGGATCTATTGATTTATATATCAAAAACCAATGAATAAAAAATGTGAAATAATATAAAACTCCATCTTTTTTCTGGTATTATCCATACACGTAATTATATTTTGGGAATAGCGTTTCTATAGTGACTGCAGGTAAGGTTCTCTACAGTGGCCCCCAAAACTACACTGTTTCATGCTTAAACAATAAAAAAACATCTAAGTTGCTCTCTAAGTGACTGAGCAAGTGCTGCCGCCATTATACGAACTACTTGAGGACCCAGTGACAATGCCGCCGTCATTTGAAGGATTTCAGGGCCCGGTGACAAACCAGTTGCGTCAGCTGCTGGAGACAGAGAATTTGACGCCAATTAGGGAGGAAATGCAGCAGCTTCCCGTGAAGGAGTCAATGACGGCGACGAAGCAGGTGCGACGGAAGCCAAACAAAATCAAGGTCGCTTCAGCGGTGGCGGTGTTGCCAACCCCACCGCCACCTCTTATCAGTGTCAATATTTTTTCATTCATGAGAAATGCTTTCTCTGTGAAAGTGGACTTGAACAGCACCGTTCGGATGCTAAAGGAGAAGATTCATGATAACTCCTAATGATTAACATTTCATTAGAGAGCAACTCAGATGTTTTTTATTGTTTAAGCATGAAACAGTGTAGTTTTGGGGGCCACATAGAGAACCTTACCTGCAGTCACTGTAGAAATACTATTCCCTTATATTTTATTCACGTGGAAAGTTTTCAAAGCCAATATGAAAATTTTCAGAAAATAAAAGTTCAAATATATAGTTAAGCTTTCCATCTTCCAATTAGGACTTGTCAAAATGTTGTGTACTTATTTTATCAGAATTTAAGATATTACATTAACAACAATCATGCAATTGGAATAAAAATAAGATTTTGACCCATTCCCATTATAATTTTTAAGGTAATAAGCTTGTATTTTTATCCTGTTCAATGAATTATATATTTACTCTGATCCAGCTGGGAATCAAATTTGTCCAATAAGGTTCCCCAGTATCGGCTGACATCCTCTACAAAAAGCTCAGCTTTTATCAGTTCAAATGATTGATAAATAATAAAATTTAAAACTTGACTATTCTTTTCATTTACCTCCGGTTTGTCCTAACCAATTTAATTTCACACTAATCAGTTACTGAGAATATAACCCTACAGACTATTAAGGAACAAATCAAGGTTTAAAATTGATAACGATGAAGACCTATAGCCTATAGGTAGTTTTGATGATAAATCAACTAACTTTTTCTTTTTCATAAAACTTCTGAAGAGTGGCATAAAAGATAAAGTTTACTGAAGCGTAGCAATTATTTGGCCAAGCTAAAGACATTGAAAAGCTACAAAGCTCAAAAAATACAGATTTTCAGTTGAAAAGGACTGGCATTATTAGGGTAAAGTATATTATCGATCATGAAATGATGAAGAGCAAGCATATGGACAGTTGCTGTGGCATTACCTTATCTTCTTTAAGAGGAAGAACTTCCCCAGATAAAGCAACCCGTATTGGTAACTGCAGCATGTGAATAAATCAGCCAATTAGCTTATACCTTTATTTCTTCTAATTATACAGGAATCTCAAAGCAGGCACCATTAGGAAAAAAGCCCTTTATTAGAGATTTTTATGGAGAATCAAGCTAGGATATACAAATTTTCTCATATAGGATAAGATTGTAGTATCAAAAGAAAACAAATGTATACCATGCACAACCTTTTTCATTGATTTTAATAAGACTCCCAGTGGGCCTGGAAAAGGGCTGGTCACAGCAAATGAACCACGCTCATCAATGATTGTGTTCTGCATAAAACAAAAATCAAATGTGTCATCCTTGACTCCTTGTAACTATGAAATATACTCAGATGAAATTTGTTAACACATCTAGTCTCATTCTCATAAGTAAAATAAGCATTCGCATGGGGGGGGGGGGGGGGGGGGGGGAATTAAACCGTGAACAAAAATAAAAATGGATTTCATCTGCTAGATGGCAGCCTTCTAAACATTCCTGCTATTAGGTTCATCTACAATATGATGAACTGTCCAGTTGATGACATGAACCAAAAACACTAATAGAGAGAATAAGAAGAGAAAGACAAATAAATCACAATCAAAGCAACCAGTTATCATTAAAAATGATTAACAAAAAAGAAAAAAGAAATAAAACCAAACATCAAAATTTCCCTAGGAGATGAATATACTTTCCTTTAATGTAATGCATTTGCTTTTAACAAAGTCTTGCAATTGCATATATTATGTTGAGATAGTAATGATAATTTATATTGTTTATTATTAATTATTCAAAATTCACACCCTATTTATACTATTTCAAATTAACATAGGATGTCTTCACCCCATTATGAATTTGTCACTTCGAGTTCTATTTCTACTTCAAAAATGTCGGTTAGGCTCTATCCAATCATATGTAGCAACCAAAAACGGTAGAAAAAATAACTGTCTTGCAATTTAGTGCCGTAGAGCTGGTTCCTTTTCCTCCAGGCAAATCTATCATTGGTGATCATTGTGTTTAGATGATAAAGTTCTGATGGCCAGACAAATTGCCTTAAAGCAAGGTTGGTGGTTAAAAACCTATAACCTACACTCATGTATGGATTGGATTAAGGCGACACTTCAAATTTGGCCAAGATTGCTTCTGCTGAATATGCTCACCTTTTTCTTTCCGAGGCTACCATGCACCATTGGCTTATCTGCTAGCTTGAGATTTAAAGTGTCTTTTGAGCTTGCTGAACAGATTTATAAGGAACAACCACTTGGTTTTGTTTCTTAGGTTAAGTCTACATAAGTGTTCCGACTGCCGTTCTCTCTATGGTTCGAAAGTCTCTATAGACTTGGTTTGGGAGATTTAACACAGTAATTCATCAAACTGGATTGATTTGTAGTGAGGCAGTGTTTTATATTGTCATTCGAAATATACTTTTGCTACCTCTCTAACATATCTCGAAGCTCATCCCTTAATTTTTCACCCCATTTTAAAGGGACTCCAAACCGACCCTCAGAGCAAAGCTACCTCTCTCTGATACTTCTGTGATGAACTAAAACATTTTGACCCTTAGAAAAGATACAAGATATTTTTATTATGAACTAAGATTTCTCTTTAGCCATCGCATCTTCACATTGGACAGGGTAAATAAGCAATAGTAAAACAGAAGAAAGAAAAAAAAAAGAATATGAAGATCAACATACCACATTATGCAAATCATTTTCTGGCACCCAAAGGTATGGCTGCCCCCTTTTAAGTATGTATTTAACCTTAGATGTATGGATATCCCCTTTGCTGTTGAAATCATGCAAAAGTAACAAAGACTCATTAGTAAACTACTATTGCTGTAACAGAATCATCACACCACATGTCTTTAATTATTAAGAAAAAAAAAACTTTATACAGAATGTTAAGTGTTGCAAGGAAGTAAGGCTGGGCTTAAGGTTTGTGAGTTGTGAACAGAGAATATGAAGAGGAAGCAAAAGGGAAAGGGAAAATTGGGTACCTTCCTTTGGCATCTGCTTTGATAGTATTAAGGGAACCTTGCCAGTTTGATGCCAATATATTCTACATACATAACAAGGCATGAAATATTGTTTGAAAATGAATCATATCGATGGTGCTACTGTTTGATGAGAAAGAGAAAGAGAACAAGGAAGAACCTTGCATTTCTCAGCGAATGTCAACACCGTTGCTTTGTTGCGTTTCATTGGTTTGGAGTGTGCGCACTACCTGCTCGATAAAACTACTATAAGTATTTAGGGCCTGCAACGCAACCAATGCTTGGAGTTTGAAGCTTATAGTTATACACCACCATCAACCATTTTGCGTTTAGACTTCAGAACGCGGTTTATAGGATTTTTTTATTTTATTTTTGAATTAGGATGAATTAAAAGACGATTTTAGGGTAATGAACTAATGATGTTTAGGGGGAAAAACACGAATTTATGGAAGATAAAATGAGTGGGTTTTTTTAGGGAAAAGTTCGGGACACTGACCATTTTGTCACACTTCTTCAAATTATTTATTAGATTGCCACGTCAATAGTAAAAATTTTCGAAATGCCACGCGGCATAATTCAATTCGCTACGAATAAATCTTTGGTGCTATTGTTGCACCTAGATTCAGTGCATCTCACCAATAGGAGCATTACATATTAGAGGAGAGAGATAAAATTTGGCAGAGGAAAGAAAACTTTGACTGACATGTAATATTTTTATTGATGGGATGTACTGAATCTTTGGTGCAACAGTAGCACCAAAGATTTATTCATTCGCTACACTGTAAAACAAATTATGCTTGCAAATAATTCGCTATATAGTGTAGAGAAATATGCCTTGTTAGGCTGCACAGTCAGCAAAAATGACATGTGTCAAGCTGGCAGTAATTCGCTACACTGTGTAGCAAATCATGCTTGTATTAGTGCCTGCTTGACATGTGTCATTATTGCTGACTGTGCAGCCTGACATGGCTTATTTCGCTACACTGTGGAGCGAATTATTTGCAAGCATAATTCGCTGCACAGTGGAGCGAAATATGCCGCATGGCATTCCGGAAATTTTTACTGTTGGCGTAGCAGTCTGGTAAATAATTTGGAGAAACGTGACAAAATGGTCACTGTTCCGAAAAGTTCACTAATACCTTTGTGGTTTGCTGTAGAATCATCTATGTTTATGTGGTGTTTTTTTTTGGGTTTACATTTGTCATTTAACATGACACAACAAACTTTTCTATACACTCAACATTTTGTGCGGCCCACACTTTTTGAAGAAAAAAGAAAAAAGAAATTACAGCACGCAAAACGAATCTCTATAACATTACACAATTACTTTTCCAATAACATAATTCTTATAAAACCCTTTTTTTTATCACATATGTTCTTGTGATTTGTAAAATATAAAATATTCACAGGAGTATATGTGATAAAAAAATATGTCCTTTTTGTAAACTACGAAGGCATATGTGATAAAAAAATCACAGGAATACAGGTAATAGGGATACAGGTGATTTTGAAGTAAATCATAAGAACATGAGTTAACTTTTCTTTGTTTTTAATATAAATTTTAAATTTTGAAAGTGAGTTATTTTATGTCTTTTTCTTTTCTAAAATAATATAATTATATATTCTTTAAAAATTGAAAAAATATTCAAAAAATATTCAAAACACATCAAAATAAGGTAATTTAAATAAAAGAGTAAATACCATTTTTGGTCCTCAGAAAATTTCACGAAGCCGTTTTAGTCCCTAGCAAATAAAAAGGGCCATCGTGGTCCCTCAAAAATTTAAAAGGACCCATTTGGTTGAAATCGTGGTCCCTCACAAATTCAAAAAAGAGCCATATTAGTCCTCAAAAGGATTAAAATGGGTCCAATTTAAATTTTTTAAGAACCACGTAACCTTTTTATTTGCTAGAGACTAAATCATGGCTGTGAAATTTTCTAAGGAACGTGAAGGATATTTACTCTAAATAAAAATATCACAAAGTTATTTCATGAACCCTTTTTATATTTCACACTTTCTGAAATTGAGCATCATCACAAGCAGTTCCATGGATTCTGCAGAAGACTCATCCTCGGAGTCAACACCACCAAACTGTTGCGAGATAATGGATAAGGATCTTCATGTCACGTTTCTTGAGATGATGTATCACTTGCTCCCATCCCCATATGAATCTCAAGAGATCAACCACCTCACTCTCGCTTACTTTGTTATCTCTGGACTTGACATTCTCAACGCTCTTCATCGAGTATATATAATAATCCTATGTTTTATGCATGCTGTTACTGCTTTTATGATTCATTGTTCATTTGTGAACTCAAGTTCTTTTTTTTCTTTTCTTTTTTGAATTTGTGATTAAAGGTTGAGAAGGATGCTGTTGCCAATTGGGTTTTGTCTTTCCAAGTTCACCCTGGAACCAAAGCTGACCTCAACAATGGTATGCAAATGCACTTGTTAGCAGCATTTGATCTCCAAAATTTGATTTTTAGTTGACCCATTTGAAGGTTTTTGCTGCAGGACAATTCTATGGCTTTCATGGTTCCAGAACTTCACAGTTTCCTCCAGATGAGAATGGGGTACGACAAAAGATTGAAATTTTAAAGTGCAAATTTTTTTTTCTGTTGGTGAAGAATCCTAACTTCTTTACTTTTATTTTTTATTTTTTTAAGGTTTTGCTTCACAACAATAGTCACTTGGCAAGTACTTATTGTGCCCTTGCCATATTGAAAATTGTTGGTTATAAATTGTCCAATCTTGATTCTGAATCAATGTTGACTTCAATGAGGAACCTTCAACAGCCTGATGGAAGGTATGCTTTTGAAATTTGGATTAGAACCGTGCCCTTTGTGCTTGTGTGATGGTCATATGAGTAAAATCCACGATGGTTTTTCAATTTAGTGGAATATGGTTTCAGAGATTTATGTCTAAATTTAACGCCCCCCCACCCCCAAAACACAAAAAATGATATGCTTAATTGGAATTACTTCTTGTTCCTCAACTCTTTGATCTATGTTGACAGTTTCATGCCTATTCATACTGGGGGCGAAACAGATCTTAGGTTTGTATATTGTGCAGGTAAGAGAAAAAAGACATGAAATGGTGATGCTACTTAGTTGATTAATAAATAATCCTGATATCGCATATAATTTTAACTAATTGACTGTATCAGCTGCCATCTGTTTCATGCTGGATAACTGGAGTGGCATGGACAAGGAGAAAGCCATGGATTACATATTACATTGCCAGGTTTGTGAAGCTAGTGCATCTACTGGGGATGGTATAAGAGTATTATCTCATGATTGTACTATATTCAGGGCATAAATGTTCCATGAAAATGAGTGTGTGTACATAAATGACATTGATATCTTTATTTTCCTTTTTTTATTCTTTATAGTCTTATGATGGTGGCTTTGGATTAGTACCGGGTGCAGAATCTCACGGTGAGTTCAAACAATCTGTTATCTTTCTCCTGAATCTCCTGAAGTAATTTTTTCAGTTTTTATTTTTTGATGCTATTGTCCATCACAAGATAGATTTGTTTAATATATTTTACGTTAGTCTTGGTTGGTTGGAGGTTGAAATCTAAGACTTCGAAATGTTATGCTATCTGATCAAGAGATATTTTCCTTTTAGAAGATGTACTACATGAGATTTAAGATTGTTTCATGAAATCCTACAGATTAAATATTAATTTACAGAGGGCAAAGTTTTAGCCTCTAGGCATATTTTTCTTTCTTCCCCTTTGGTTGGGTGGACAGATTGGTTTTGACTTATGAGAGTATCTTTCATTAAAATATTGATTGTGGATTGCCTTCTTTGAACAGACCTCAACATTTTATTTTTGATATTTCCTCTTGTCATTGTTTTACACTCTCGAGTATTGACATAGTCTAGTATCCATGTAAACCAATCAGTTGGCTGCTATTTTGTATCCTTGTGGTGGCCATTGTAATACTCGTGGACTTGTAGTTAACAACCTGCTCAAGCTCCATTCAATTTAAATTTTATGCTCCATGGAATAACAATTCTGGTTCAGACCTGTTGGTTTTCTTAAGTTATTTGCATGCATTTTGAATGGTGGTCTTCATCCAGTTTTAAAATGTTTATTATTTCTTAGATTATATTTATCAAAATTACTTGTTTTAGTGGCTCAGGTGGTGCAACTTATTGTGCTATTGCATCTCTCCGATTAATGGGGTTCATTGAAGATAATATTCTCTCAAGTTGTGCTTCATCTTCTTTGATAGATGTGCCATTGCTGCTGGACTGGATCTTGCAGGTTTTTACATCTAAACACTTTCAATATAAGATGAATTGATTTTATTAAACTATTAATTAGTAAATAAACACATTGGATTGAGGATCATTTTCAAGAGCTGCTTATTTGTGAATGACCTTCAAATAATGGCCTGAGGGCGAGCCTTGGAGACGTTGCTCCTTGTGACCAGAAGGTTACGGGTTTAAATCTAGCAAACAACCTCTTTGCAAAAATGCAAGGGTAAGGCTGTTACAATCGGCCATCACCTCTATCCTCGCAAGTCGAGGAGCCTTATGCACCGGTGTTTGTTCTTTCTTTTTTTAATCATTTAGTGCTCGGTTTCCTTGGATCAAGATTCACTAATTCTGTTTTCCTTTTCAGAGGCAGGGAAATGATGGTGGATTTCAAGGTAGACGTAATAAACCTAGCGATACATGTTATGCATTTTGGTAAGTACAGTATGGAGCCTTTATTAATTTCTATGGTATTGCGTCCCTGACTTATTTGTAAGTCGTCAAAGCCTTCACAAGCATCATGTGTTTGGTAGGATTGGAGCCGTCTTAAGGATTCTAGGTGGATGCAACTTTGTTGACAATAAAGCTCTTCGTGGATTTTTGCTTGCCTGTCAGTATCAGGTACTACAATTACTATTCTGCTTTCCATACAGTGTGTTGTAGATGTTAGGGGGAGAAATAAAATTTGATGATATATTATATCATAAAAAAAAAAAAACCACTCCCCGTTAAACCCAACTAGCGAGTATGGGGTGGAGGCAATCTTTGTACGCAACCTTACCTTTGCATAATTGCAAAGAGGCTGTTTCCTGGATTCGAGGTCATGGGTTCGAATCTTGGAAACAGTCTCTTTGCAATTATATGCAAGGATAAGGCTACGTACAAGGATTGCCTTCAACCCACACTCGCTAGTCGAGTTTAACGGGGAGTGGTTTTTTTTTAATTATATCATAAAAGTTATAGAAAATGAAAGGTAAGGAAAATAGTGATAGTGATTTAAGTTTAACACGATTTTTGTTGTTAAGTATATTAAGGAAAATGTTAGATACTGCCTTTTCATTTATGGGATTTTTTTTCCCATTCTTTTGGGTTTCTTTCCTGTACTTTTATGTTATGATTATACCATTGTCAAAAGCATCATAGTACTTTATGGACTCCATATTTGATTCTAGTCAAAAAAGAATTGTATGATAAGCAACTAAGACTTTTCTATTACTCTATTTTCTCTTCATTTGAAATCGATTTCAAGTCTTTCCTTTTTTTGTGTCAGATAAGATCATTAGCCACACTCTCTATCAAAGAAGTAAAATAGTATATATAATATGTCATGAAATTATAACAGGAAGAATATTCAATGGTCAATTTAATTTTATAATGGAAAGGAGAGGGGTAGTGTGAGGAGAGTGAACAAGTAAGAAGCGAGTCCAGTCTCTAGTTATATTGGCTAAATAATTTTCTTTTTATCCTAATTTGTGAAACTATTCTATTTATACTTACTCTGGGTTTTCTTTGAGGTGCTATTAATTCCACTTTCCCAGCATAAAAGAAAGAAAAAAAAAAATGTTCTTTCACTTCTTACATTTAAACTCAAACTTATGATTTTTACAGTAATTTGCCTCTTCCCTTTAGAGAAAACCATCGGTTTAGTACTTGAGTCCACCTCTAACCATGGAAGGGAAATGTCAAGTTTATGTTCTTATTAATTGGTGAAATGAGGATTTTAAATTGACCTAGAAAAGACCAGATTTTTAGTTCCTAGCAGAACACATGAAGGGAGGGAACTATTTTATGTGATGCCAAAATCTCTGGCTGATTGAACTAACTCTGAAACTCATATTTTGCTGCTTCAATGACTCCTGAATTTTTCTTAGACTGGATGAACTAATTTTTGAAACTCATGTTTTGCTTCTTATATTGGTTTTTAACCAGTATGGTGGTTTCAGCAAATTCCCTGGAGAGTTTCCAGACCTGTACCACTCCTACTATGGATTTGCTGCTTTCAGCCTGTTGGAAGAATCTGGCTTGAATTCACTTTGTTCTGAACTGGGAATTACTGAAATAGCTGCAATGGGAATTTAAGATATGTCTTGTCTTGGATGTCCAAGTGTTTGATTTGGTTTTTTGCCCCTATTATGTCTGTGTCCATTAGATATGGATACTTTTACTTTTGGGTACCTTTTGTGTGGTATGGATCTTTTAACCTAAGATTTCTTGCAAATTATGTGAAGCTGTCATGTCACAACTAATCCACTCTTATTGGATTTTATTTTACCTTTTTCCAAATTTAGGGGGAATGTAAACTTTCCATCTCATTTGACTTTATTAACAGTAATAATATCAACCAAATCTTATCCCACTTGGGTTTTTTTTTTTTTTCAATCTACAGAGTGGTATGTTAATCTGAAGTTCTACATAATGATAATAAATGTAAATTTATATAAATAAAAAACATATAATATTATCAGTAAATAAGAATTTTACAGAGTTATATTTCGATTGCAAATTATTTAGTCATAGATTAGTTTTAACATAAAATAAAAAATAAAGACAAAGGACAGTATAATTTACAGTCATCTTTTACACTGTAATTGACATCAAAGAAATAATAATAATAATAGTGGGCAGCAAATATTACACATTATTTGAGTTTATGACAGGTTTACTATTCTCCCTTCTTGAAATTGTTCATTTGCATACCGAATTAGAATATTTTTTTGGTCTCCCCATAGTTTCACACAAAATTCTTCTTGATATTTTTTAACCGGATCATTAACGTGCGTACAAAGGTTGAGAAGGCCAAGCAACCTTGATGGAACAAATCTGTACTACCGTGGCATCGAACATTAGGTGCAATGTTAATATTATAACTATGTATTTCAGAGCATAATTATCAAATGCGAATTGCGACATATCGCGGCCAACTCCGAAAAATGCTATAGCGTTATAGCAGGTTGCGGTGTCGGAAATAGCGCATAAATATATGACAGAAATAATGACAAAAAAATATTTTTTAAAGGCAGAAGTGACAGAGAGAGACAGATAGACTAAAAAATCCTTAAATTTTTTTTGTTACACATTTAAATTTAGGACAAAATTGACATTTTGCTTTATGACAGTAATATGACCGCAAATGTGATCGCAATGGCCGCTATTGTGTTCCGATACGGCACGACGCAGTTTCTTGTGGCGAGGCACCGCAACGCCCATACGGCGCGGCTCACGGCGCTATTGCAACGCAATTAACTACTATGTTCTGAAGAATATATAAAGTTATAACATTAAAAAAAATATATCTCTTCAAAATCTTGTTGGTTGATATGTCACACTCCTACTAATGCGATGTACTAAAGATTTATTCATGTTGAAGGAGTAGCCAAAAACTGAAGGGCCAATATAAATTATATCAATGTATCTAAAAAAAAAAAAGTAAACGAGATATTCTGTGTTTATGTAGAGGTCAATAGCTCAAGATATAGTTGATTCAACGTGCAACACAAAAAAGAGCCAAGAAAAGTTATGCCTAAAGCCATATTTTATTCTTTATTCTGACCTGTTATGATTCTTCAACGTGGTGGTGGGGTTACAAAGATGGCACCTTTCGGTCATGAGTCATGACCCACGAGACATATTCACGGGCAATTTCATCCCTTGTTGTTTAGCGAAAAAGCCACAAAAGCAGAGCCTCTCTTTTTATCAAATTTGTCACTTTGTTGGATAGTGCTTGGCTGAGCAATATATTACATGTTAACCATGAACTATTCAATGGCTCACTACAAAAGCCCTTCTTTGATCTTCATCAGATTTTGATCACACGGCAGATATCACTTAATAATAAAACTTTATTGTCTAAAACATAGCAACAAAGAAACAGAAAAACATGACATGGGACAATGTTGGCTTAAGACATGTCTTATTCATATGTTTGTAAAGAGAAAAAAAGAAAAGAAAATAAATAGCAGAGACTCAGAATTCTTTCAAAGTCCTTCTGACAGCTGCATGTATGGAAGACTAGGACCACCTCATCACTCAAAAAAATGATAATAATTACAGTGTCAGATACATTACGAAAATGGAGAATTTGGGTGAGCATGGAAATTTTAATAAGAAAAAAAAATGCCCATCAATTTTCCTATTGCATCAGACCCACCTTTAAGCATTTCTGCGCAGAAAATATTGCACCCCATGTCTTATGAAACATTGAGAGTACATTTCACAACTGGCTTAGCAGATTAAACTATGACTGCATCCCAAAACAACTTAAAAGGGGAGAAACAAATTCCCAAAACAAAAAAAAGAAAAAGTGGAATTCTTCACAATGTAATTAGAAAGATTAATGAAGGAAAAAAAAAAACTCAGTTGACTGGCAGAACTTTGATGTTAGATGCTTTCTTCTGGTTGATGAACTGAGTGTGGTGAATGTGTCAAGAAGCTAAGGGAAGTACCTGTGAAGTACTTGAATGGTACTGTGGTGGTAGATGAGATTGGTGAGTAAGCTCTCTTTCTATTTTCTTGTCAACAACTATTGTGATAAAAGAACTATCAACTACCTCATCTCCATTTACCTTATTCTCATCATGCAATTTTCTTCTAAGCTTCTCTTCTGCTTCCTGTAAGAACTTGAATTTTGGAGGAGGTGATGACTTTATTCTATTGAACTCAGCATCAGTTGTTGATTCAAAAAGAGGATTGAATCCACGTTGGTTATAGGGGCTGATAGGAGTGAAAGGAGGAGTGAAATAAGGTGGAGAAGCAGTAGGTGTCATATATGGTGTCTCCACAACTAGCAAATCACCCAAGCTTCTACCCCTTGAACCCTTTCCACTTTTCTCACCCTTGGACTTTCCATCATCAGATTCTAAATCTTCCTTTGATTCTTCTACTATTGTGAATAAGAATCTTGGAGGACCTAAGAGGTCTTGCTGCCTCATGTACTCTGCCTCAATGCCATCTTCCCCAAAGGGTTTGAAAAGAAATTCCTTGCTACTTTGTGACTGAAGTTGCAGTTCTGGATCATGAACAAGGGTGTCACCTATTCTCATTGAAGAACAAAGCTCTGTAGGAGTAAAAACAGTTTGCCTCAAAGAAGATGATGGCCTTTTCCAACAAAACATATAGAATAGCTCTTTCACTGGGTTGCCATAGTCATGTTCAATCTCTCTGTTGGTTATCCTCTTCTTCCACCATAACAAATAGTAAACCTCAGCTACCAGAGCCAACAAAAGACAACCGAAAACAATACTCAGACCAAGACCTACACTACTCAAAGATTTCATCTTTGTCCTCAAATCACATTGAAAAAACACTTTTTTAACTTTTTCAACCTCCCAAAGATTTCATCTATTTCAGAAAATCATATAAATAAAATAAAATAAAAGGCCAGTGAAACTACAAAAACAAAATCAAAACCCAACTTCAACAAAGAGAAGAGGAAAAGCTTAATGGGTAATTTACTAAACAGTCTTAAACCTATGCTCTAATTCTAAATTCAAGCACTGAAAATATGAATAATATTTTTGACTAGAATTCAATGTAATATTATAACTACATCCCCTCCCCACCAAAAAAGCTTTAACAAACCTTGGTAGCAAATTGTAAAACCTCCCAGAACACCAATCTGCTAAAAGGGCCAACCAAAAAGCTTTCTCTCTCTCTCTCTCTCTCTTGAAAGCAACACAAGCAAATCATAAGCATGAAGCCATGAGCCTTTTAGCTTTAACCCCACTTAAGATTGAGCATACACATATGGATTAGTCCCATCATTACCCTCAAAGATAGTAACATTTTTAAACAGGCCAAAAGAGAAAAAAAAAAAAAAAAAAGATCCCCTAAACCATAAACCACTTGTAGAAGTGCACAAAAACCAGGAGCCAGAAAAATAACATAAGAGAGTCCAGGTGTAAGAGAGGGTCGGCATGTACCTGTCTGGCTTATGGTTGGGGGGTCTCGTCCTTCGAGAGAACCTCACATGGGATCAGACAAAAAAAAAGTGACATGTCAATATGTTATTACATATTTAATATATAACTTACAATGTAAGATCCTTCAAATAAGGGAAGATTTCTCCCATAACTCAAGTTGATACTTGGTGTTATGTTACTCACTGACAATTTGGGAGGAACAATGATTCCATATCTGAAAGTTTCCTACAATGCTTCTTGTTTTTAAAATCTTAATCATGATCTTTGTTGAATATTTTTTACTTGCATGATTTTTGTTTTGAATTAATGGGATTATTATTTCAAAGTGAAGCAACATTTGTACAATTGCTATTGCTTCCTTTCATTCAGTAGATCATGATATTCCAAAGCAACAACTTAAAATACCTTATCTGTATTGTTACTGCTGAATTAATATAAGAAGATGGGCCACAAAACCCTAGATGTTAGATGAACCAGATAGGACGGTTTTATATTTATATTGTTTGGTATATTTTATGGCTTTAATGTTTCTAAAGTGAAAGTAGATAAGTTATTTACATTTGTTCTCAAAACGACGTCGTTTTGAGTTGAAAAATTAAAAAATTATAATGAAAAAGACTATTATAACCTTAAAATAAATTATAATTACAAAAATACATTAATTTCCGTCCCAAAATGACGTCGTTTTGGGCTCACCGTAGATAAGTTATCGCGAACCCATATTTTATTTTTGTTAAGTTAGTTGTATTGCATGAAGTATCAAACACAGACGAATTAAAGTACGTCTACATGTTTGTAATGAATATATATATATATATACAGAGGTAGGATCATTTGATACCGGTGTCAAATTTGAAGTTTGACACCTCATTGATCTTTTTTGATCTAACGGCTCTCAGATGAGGTGTCAAACTTCAAATTTGACACCGGTGTCAAATGATCCTACCTCATATATATATATATATTTATAGAGATTAAGAGTTAAAATACTATAATATGGATTCAATTAAAAATAATAATGTACTCCATATGAAATGATGCAGTGGCACCGACATATGTTTAGTTCCAAGGAGAAATTCAAATAATACAATGCTTGTGAACTCTTGAGCCTAAATTAATGGGGGACACTGGTTGGTTATCAATATCTGTTGTCTGTGCACATAAAGTCAGGAACAAAAAACAACAGTAAACACGCAGTGAAGGAGTTCACGAGCATCCTTGAAATTGCTCCACTTGAAAATGAAGCGTGTATTTGAATTGTTAGGATACTTGTGTTAATGAAAATATGTGAATACAACTAGAATAATAATATAATTACTACTAGATTGTTAGGATATTTGTGTTATATAAGTTAATTAAGTTTTTTTTTTTTTTACTATAAAAGTAGGGCATCAAAAACCAGGATTGAAATGCAAAATTGCTCCTGTCTCAAAATTACCAAACATGATAACAACAATTACAATTAGCAGCCTCTGTTGGGATTCTATGTAAACATGCATTAAATCCCATATTATCGATAAGCCACTTATGATTTCTTGCTTTAAATCAGTGAATTTATCTAGAAATGGAAAAAAGAAATAATTAATAACCAGATTATTAAGAACATAAAAATACCAACAACAAAAACTTACCTTATATATAACCCTCTTAATTATTATTTTTCTTCGTAGAAGTTATATTTTTCAGTCCATACTGTAGATGTACTGTGCTCAAATCTAGAGAGAATAGCAGCGAAAAAAGAGAAAGGTTGGTACACAACACAAAAATTAGCACAAGCATAGTTATTACTCATTTATAAACATCAGAGTTCCGCAACCGCAAGCTAATCTACCTTGTATAGGTGCAAACATGGTAGTTAAAATTTCGATTTAAATTTACATTTTTATGATTTTATAATTTTTTAAATCAAAACGATTTCATCAAAATTTCAAATAATTTTATGTTTTTATAATTTTTTACGATTTTTTTATGTTAAAATTTTACGTTTTATAATTTTTTATTCTTCTTTTAATCTCAGGTAAAATTTCGATTTTAATTATGTGCAAACTACCATAGGCCATACTCATTGATACGACTACACATACAATTTTTTATTGAATAAAATTCCAATTTTAATTATCATGGTGCAAACTATCATAGGCCATATTCATTGATATGACTACACATTCACACAGCCCATCTTTTCATTATAGTAGCGACACACAGCCCATCTTTGTTCCGCGGGTTATATTTTCAATTTTTTATTTTTTATTTAATTTTATTTTTTGTTAAATGTACGTAAAAGATGAGAAATGAAGGATTTGTGCTTTTCTTTTCCTTTTTTACAATGGAGAAGAAATTCTCTGTTTACGCTTTTCAATCATATTACAAAAAATGCAATCAGTATAAAATTATTTGAATTTCATAGTCATAAAGAAGGTTCAGAGAAATATCGCATATTCTTCTTGAGTTGATTTTATTTATGAAAGTCTTTGGGAAAGAGGAAACTGTGATGCTTTGGAAATTACACTACACAATCGAAAATGAATCTCAGCCTTCAGAAAACGAGACAATATGCGATCTTCCGGAAGTTTTTTCATGTGACGGTTTCATTTAAGTGCACTGTAATTTGCGCCAGGCTAAGATGAAACTGACTAGTAACTTGAATTGCATCTTTAAAATAAAAAAGGTCGTTAATCTTCCATTTAGCATAGTCTAATTTTTAATGTAGTCGCATTATCCAAAACCAATGAATCAATGGAAAGGAATCTCCATCTGTTATATTCAGTTTGCGAATAGAATTGAGGCCATTGGATTCATCTCATCTCATGGGCTATCAAGAGGAACAGAGGAATAGGTAAGAAAGAAAGAACACAGCGCAATTCTTATTGCAGTTACTCAAGCATCCGAAACTGTTCCTAACTTAAATGACAATCACCTAAAATATGAAGTAAAGGGACGGAATTGGCCGTAAAAATTGCATCCTTTGCCAAAACATTTTACGAATAAAAACAATATTCTTAAGATCTGCGGAAGTATAATTTGCACTTAACTCTAAGATGAAGCTAAATTATTAATCGGATCATCTGATCTCACCAGTCTTATGCTTCTTGTTATGCAACTTACTAAAAACAATCACTAACATATGAATAACCATGACGATAAAAGATCAGCCACATCAGAATAAAAGGATAGGAAGGAATTGGCCAATAAAATTACTTGCATTGCCGAAAATTTTCAAACGTATCCAGAAAATAATCTGGATAAACAAAAAAGAAAAAATACTAATAAACATCCTGATGCCCCGATATCAAACGACAACAAAATATTGGCCAATAGTCTAAAAAATAAAAAAGTAAAAAGATCTCAAACGAAAATGCACAATCACATCGAATTAATAAAATGATTTAATCAACTTCTTCAATCTTGGGGCCAGCACCACTGGATCCAGATGGTGGTACTTCATCATCCATACCGCCAGCCATGTCAGGAGCACCTCCACCCTGGTACATCTTCGCAATGATTGGGTTGCAAAGGCTTTCCAGCTCCTTCATCCTATCTTCGAACTCATCTGCCTCAGCCAGCTGATTACCATCCAACCATTGAATTGCATTCTCAATGGCATCTTCAATCTTCTTCTTGTCCTCAGGAGAAAGCTTGGAGCCAATCTTCTCATCTTTAATAGTGTTCCTCATGTTATAAGCATAGTTTTCCAAGGCATTCTTCGCATCGACCTTCTTCTTGTGCTCCTCATCCTCAGCCTTGTACTTTTCTGCCTCCTGAACCATCTTCTCAATATCCTCCTTTGAGAGCCGACCCTTGTCATTGGTGATGGTGATCTTGTTCTTCTGGCCCGTAGTCTTATCCTCAGCAGAGACATTCAAGATACCATTGGCATCAATGTCAAAGCAAACCGTGATCTGCGGAACACCCCTAGGTGCTGGAGGAATGCCAGAAAGCTCAAACTTTCCCAACAAGTTGTTGTCCCTGGTTCTGGCTCTCTCGCCCTCGTATACCTGGATCAAGACACCAGGCTGGTTGTCCGAGTAAGTTGAGAAAACCTGCTCCTTCTTCGTCGGAATGGTAGTGTTTCTTGGAATGAGGACAGTCATAACCCCACCAGCAGTCTCCAAACCAAGAGAAAGGGGGGTAACATCCAACAGCAAAAGATCCTGAACCTTCTCGTTACCCTCACCGCTCAAAATAGCAGCCTGAACAGCAGCTCCATAAGCAACAGCCTCATCAGGGTTTATGCTCTTGCAAAGTTCCTTACCGTTGAAGAAATCCTGCAACAGCTGCTGCACTTTTGGAATTCTGGTAGATCCACCAACAAGTACAACATCATGGACAGTGCTCTTGTCCATCTTAGCATCCCTCAAACACTTCTCAACGGGCTCCATGCACTTCCTGAAGAGATCCATGTTGAGCTCCTCAAACCTCGCACGAGTGATTGTGGTGTAGAAATCAACACCTTCATACAAAGAATCAATCTCAATGGTAGTCTGTGCAGTAGATGAAAGAGTCCTCTTCGCCCTTTCACATGCAGTCCTCAACCTCCTAAGAGCCCTTGGGTTCCCACTAATGTCCTTCTTGTGCTTCCTCTTAAACTCCTGAACAAAATGGTTAACCATTCTGTTATCGAAGTCTTCACCACCAAGATGAGTATCTCCAGCAGTGGCCTTAACTTCAAATATACCTTCTTCAATAGTGAGAAGAGAGACATCAAAAGTACCACCACCCAAATCAAAGATCAACACGTTCTTCTCTCCCACACTGGTGGCTTTCTTGTCGAGACCATAGGCAATGGCAGCAGCTGTAGGTTCATTGATGATACGCATGACATTAAGACCAGCAATGACTCCAGCATCCTTTGTTGCCTGACGCTGCGAGTCATTGAAGTATGCAGGAACAGTAACAACGGCGTTCTTCACAGTGGAACCGAGATAAGCCTCAGCTATCTCACGCATCTTCATTAGCACCATAGAGGAAATCTCCTCAGCAGAAAACTGCTTATCCTCACCCTTGTAATTGACCACAATCATGGGCTTTTCAGCAGGACCGGGAATAACCTTGAACGGCCATAGCTTCATGTCACTCTGAACGGAAGCATCAGAGATCCTCCTTCCAATCAAACGCTTAGCATCTGCGGACACATTCAAGTCACCAATAAGCAAACAAACCTCAAATTTATAAAATAAAAACACAGAATCAAGTCCTCACATTCCATCGAAATTAGACCCAATTCTTGCATATTAATATTTAACTCAAAGACAAATTTTAACAATCAATACGATATGTATCTTCAGGCAAAGCGATTCCACTGAACGAGCCCAACAATGCAGCAAATCAATCCAAACCATGGAACCAAACAAAGGTTCATTCGTCTAATATACATATATAATCGTGTAATAATTCACAATGCAGAGGGTTTACTTAATAAAGAAAGAGATAACAATTAAAGGTACTAATTAATTACGTTACAACAAAAATAATAATAATAATAATAATAATAATAATAATAATCAACCAGTAAAATAACAGATATAAAAATCTATGAACATTTAACGCGCATTACGATGCAATAAAGAAAACTACAAAAATATATGAAAATAATCAAACAGAATCAGATCGTGACAAACAGAAGAAAGAGTTCGCAAATCTTACCAAAGACGGTGTTAATAGGGTTCATGGCGACCTGGTTCTTGGCAGCATCACCGATCAAACGCTCGGAATCGGTGAAAGCGACGTAAGACGGCGTCGTACGGTTGCCCTGGTCGTTGGCAATGATTTCAACACGGTCGTGCTGCCACACTCCAACGCAGGAGTAGGTGGTGCCGAGATCGATTCCGATTGCAGGACCATCTCCTTTTCCGGCCATCGTAGATCGCAACTAACAGAGATATCAAGGAGGTTCTGCTTGTGTAGCGTAATGGCTGAGTGGATTAAAGTAAAGAAAAGAAAAGAATAGGGTTAGGTTTGATTTGAGTGGAGAGGAACGTAGTTATATATTAGTTTGGGTGTGACTATTTATTTTATTTTATTTTATTTTAGAATTCTAGAATGTTCTTTCGGTTCCGTTGGAGATCAGTGGTGGGAAAATCTCTTCCTGCTTTCTGGTTGGTTCTAGAGGGTTCTTATTCTGCCAACTCAGATACAAAATTAATTGTTTGCCACTCGTTAAGAAACTATTATTATGTACTCACAAAATTTATATAGTTATAAAATAAGAGATATACTATCAATTAATCTTACTATTAAATTTTTTTTTTCTTTTTTTCTATATTTAATACTTTATATTTATTTTTACCTTGTATGATTATGATTTCTTATATCTAATATTTTCACATTAAATATGAGAACTTATCAAACATACAAAGATGGAAATAAATATAACGGTTGGATCTACATAATCAATTTAATGGTAAAACAAATTGGTAGTGACATTCGTAATAACACTAATTTGTAATTATAATATTCTATCTCATAATATAATATTAGAAAAAAGTATATTCATATTTAATCAATTTATAAATAGTTATTATAAATTTTAAAATAATTTTAATTATTATTTTAATAATTCTTGTGTTAAATATTTAATAAGTGAATGACAAAAGGGTCACACAATAACTGTTATTATATTTTAGGTCCCTTTTTTCTTTAGTTTTTTCAAGAATTGATTATAATTATATATTTTCATAAATACATAATTATAATCTTAAAAAAAAAAAAAAAAATTCTCTCTCCAGTAGTTGTCGGTCGACATAGAGAAAGAGAAAAATAATTTTTTGATTATAACTATAAATTCTAAAAAATATAATTATAATCGATTGTTGAAAAAAAAAATTGCACTAACATAAAAAATACATTTCTTTATATTTTATGTTTGAACTAGTGAGTTGACTTGGTCAAATACTGAATAACCTATTCAATTATTTGAACCACACACATGATTATATATACATATATGCAATTAGTGTTTTTATGAGATTAAATTAATCTCTTAAAGATGTGTGGGATTCATTTTTTTTTTTCTCCATTATCTTCACACACTTTTATGTGTGTGTAAGAAATAAATTATATCCTACAACATGAGAAACATTAATCATACATATATATATATATAGGGTTCGTTTTTTTCTGCAGTTATTGCAAATAAGTTATCTGCATCAAGCCTAAAATGATATCGTTTTAGGACGAAAATCAAGGTTTTTTATAATTTTAATTTATTTCAGGGTTATAATAGTCTTTATAATTAAATTTTTTAATATTTCAACAACAAAACAACTTCGTTTTGAGAGTAAATGCAGATAACTTATCTGCAGTAACTGCGAAAATATTTTTCTGATATGCACACACACATATATATATATATAGTTTAATGTTTCTCATGTCACAAGAAGTAAAGTTATCTATATGATCCCAAAATGATATCGTTTTGGGATTTAAAATAAAAAATAAAAGGTATTTTAGTAAAATAAATGTTACAATAGGAAAGTAAAATTTCTCAAATATCTTTTATTTTTTATTCTAAACCTCAAAATGACGTTGTTTTGGGTTGCAGGAGATAATTTTATCTCAAGCAATAATAGAAATACTTTTACCATATATATAACTTGATAGTAATGTTTCTCATGTTATAAAAGATAAATTTATCTTCTAGAAATTTATCTTTTACACACTCATAAAAGTGTGTAGGTCATGTGAAGAGAAGAAAGAGTATCCTCGTACCATCTTTGAGAGGAATTTATTCTTAATCTTGAAACCCTCGAATCGGACTAGTCTCGAAGCGATAAATCGATTGAAATATCTACACACACAAAAAAGAATAGAGAAAAAAAAAATGAGCCTCACACACTTTTATGTGTGTGTAGGAGATAAAATTTAGGGGGGGAAGTATCTGATGTTACTTTAGGCAACTTTGTCTAATGTTCATCGAAACGACGTCGTTTCGGGGTTGAAAAATTAAAAATTTAGAATGATAAAAATTATTATAACCCTGAAATAAATTAAAATTACAAAAATACCATGATTTCCGTCCCAAAACGACGTCGTTTTGATGAACATTAGATAAAGTTATCTAAAGTAACTTTAGAAAAAATAAACCCTAAAATTTATCTACTATAACACGAGAAACATTAATCTCGTATAACTTTGTAAAAAGCATATACTTATGAATTAATCATTTATTCAATTTTTAAATTGAACAGAATCTTTCTTAAAAAAAATTAAGAAATTGAGCTGAATCAGTTAAATCCATTTAACCAGTTCTTTTAATTGATCTAAACAATTTGATTTTAATTGGGTTAGATTGTCTTGCGTATCCCTTTAATTTTACAAGGTTCCTCCATTCATTTCAGTTTCGCTTGTATCTATTTCTTCCATTTTTTGTTTGAATTTATAGCTTTTTTTTTATGGATATTATCCATCTGGTAATGGATTACTTACTTATTCGACTAGTCTTATTCAAATCCCACTAAGTTTTAACACAATTATATTCCCAAACTTAAACTCCAAACCAAATTTCAACAGGAGTATATTGGACATACATATATGTTGAGGTCTGTCTTTCCTTCACTGATATTAATTTAATCTATATCACTCTGTTTTAATATCCAAGTAAGGCTATAATACCAATGTTGTACAGTTGGTTCTTGGGTCTCATCTTCATCTTTAGCACTAGAGGAAGATAGTGCTATTTGATGAATATTGATTTTTCTTTGTTTGAAAATCTCTACAGGTTTTGTGACTATTTATTTTCCTTTGGTGTGCTTTGAAATAGGAGGTTTGGTATATAATACGAAATCAGGAATACTTTTCCCAAATGTTGGTATTGTTGAAGAGAGACTAGGACATGAGGATTTAGTATGACTCATAGGGGAATATTATGAAGAAAAGGCCGCCATATGATCAGAAGTATAATGACTCGATTGCTTTTGCAAATCTGCTTCTATTCTGTAAGTTGTAACTTTAGCATTCTTATTTCTATCTTTTTTTTGTTGAAATCATCATTATACTATCTCTGTTGAATCATCAGCATCAATTCATCATGAAGTCTGGCTATTAGATCATTTAAAGATCCTGCTAGCGGTTGAATCTTTAAGGATGTCTGATTAACCTTAACTTTAACTGAATCCAGTTTTTCTTCAATCTTCCTAAGCACATTATTCTGAGCAACTGCATTGTTAATCTACTGAATTACATTCCTAAACTCCAACTCAAAACCACTCAAGCTGAGTTGCATTTGTTGGTTACCATAGCCTACTTGGTGGTAAATTTGGAGCTTTGAATATAAGTGCCTAAATCATGTGGATAAACCCAGCTGAATCTACTTAATTACACGACTTTATGAATTATGAGTTAAGTTAAAAAAAAGCTCATAAAATAAGTTAAAAAAACAAAGAGACGAATGTAGGAAAAAATATTTCCAATCTGGTACATCTTTTATCCAGTAAGAAAAATAATAATATATTTACACTTTCCTTATCTTTATAGTTATTTCCTTCCATGTCTCTATTTTTTCCTTTATCATCCAATATCTCTATTTTTTCCGAAAATAAATCCTTTCGTATTGAAAAAAATATGACATGATCATATGAAAAAATTACAACAATTATACAAAGGTAAATCAACGGTTATGATTTTATAACTATTTATTTCAATATTTTATCTCTCTTTTCCTTTATTACTATTGATCTACTTTATATAATTATAATTTTTCACATGACTATATTATATATATTTTTTTTTCACCAGAATCCAAATCTATTTTATCCTTTTTTTAATAATGAAATATCTACTTTTGTTATACCGAAAATTCACTCCGAATATAGAGGAATTTCAAAACTGACCCATGATATTTAGCCCATTTTTATCGATTATAATATTATAATACTGTAAACACCAAATCGTATTCAACCTGTGCAAGACCAAGTTGAATTAAAGTGTTTCAGATTACCGAAAAAAAAGTGTTTCAAGAAAATGGGGCTACGTCCTCGTAGGTAAAATTGAAATTTTATCTAAAATCAGAAGGAAAATAAAAAATCATGAAACGTAAAGCGTTTAAAATTTGATGAAATCATTTTGATTCAAAAAATTCATAGAATCGTAAAAGCGCATATTTAAATCAGGATTTTAACTACCATAATCCCTCCCCATTACAAAAACAAAAAAGTGATTCAAGAACAAACAAAACCCAGGTTGAAGAACCAAGCCTCTTGAGAAATCTCATTCAAAAAAAATAAAATAAAACCATAAAAATTCAAACTCGGTCAATTTCTGATCCACGACGATTCACCGAACTGATCAAACCAGAAAAAAAGAAGAGTCTGTTGTGAAAAATGAAACGAAAAAAGTCGATCTATTGAAAAATCACAAGATGGTGGTTAGATCACATTGTAGCATAATAATAGACCGAAGAAAAAAAAAATATTATTCAAGAATAGAATAACTTTTCTTGCAAAGAAACTGGCCCCCTTAGCCACATATGCTATTCTTAGCAAAGAAGACAGTCAAAGCATGAGCATATATATAGCTCTGGCCGTCTCAGCAGAACCTTTATTCTTGCACTCCTCTGCATCGGCAACTCATGTCCTTTTCCTATCTTCTTCTTCCACTCTAATACCAATTGTATTTTGGATTATTGCTTGGCAAGTAACAACCGACCCACCACGTTCTGCCGCGTCTGCTTCTTCATCCAAGCTCATCTATCGATCGCAAAACCTTTTCTCCTGTAAATCCCTCATACCCTTTTCAATTATCTCGCCCACCGTGAAAGTATTCCCACTAGCTTCTTTCAACTTGGCAGCTGTTATCCATATGGCACCATCCCTCTTGCCCTTTTAAGAACCTTCCAAGCATTATCAAAAGTTTGCAACCTCGAAAGAGCATGCCACGCTTCAACATGCAAGGGAAAACATTCAACAGCTCTGTGAAGTTAAAGTCTAGCATCTTCTTCATTAGCAAGT